AAAATAAAAAGTATTAGTATATATATATATATATATATATAAATTTGACTTATATTGCAATTATTTTTTTATGAAATTTGCAAATTAGCAAACAACTAATGTCTGCTACAAAACGCAATACTACTAAGAATCAAGACAAACAAAAAAAATTAAAAAACTTTTAAATCAATAAAAGAGTTCAAATTTTACAAAGTTCTCAGACGTAATAATAGAACAATTAATGAAATTTTCATATTTTGATAAATACCTTGATATATACTTTTAAAATGATCTCTCATAAATGATCATTATCACGAATGATTTTGGAAAGAAACAGCGTTGCCAATTACTTACGCATGCGCCATTGTGGTGTTCTAAAATGGCAACGTGGTCACAACGGTGCGGCCTTGTTGCGGCCTCAACGTTTTCTTCTCATAGTACCATATCATGAAATGACGGATGTGCAGCGTCCAGAGGATCTGGAGTAACAAAAATCTGTGCAACGCAACTTAACATCATATTGCGGTTTTCTCTTATAAACAATTTTTTTTCCATCGTGGAAGCTACCCTTTGATTGTGATAGACTATAATTTGCCTTCTGCATTGCATCCGTCTTCATGCCACGTTCCTGCTGAATATCAGAAAATTATTCATTATTTTAGTCAAGCAGGTAACAAAACAAAGTATATTCATTCTTTTTGAAGCTTCCCGAGTGATTCGGAGCAGGCAATCCTGCTGCAAAACGCTCCATAAAGAAAGACATATTTTTTAGTTTATTTTTCAATATTCAACTAAATGTATAGTTTTTAATCTTCTGATAATTAAAAAATATAAATTATATTTGTGTATTATAATAATTCATATGTAATATTTTGAATAATGTAAACGAAACGTTCTTGACGTTGCCAAATGATGATTGGAGTAAATGAAATGCAAGTGCACAGTGAAAAAATTTGTGTTAAATTTAATACATTTTATGTATCTTAAAAGATATATTCAAATTTTTATCTTATGTTAATTGAACATAAGATAAATATATTAGAAAGTAACACAATTATTATGTAAAAATTAACACAAAAATATAACAATTTAATACAACTTGGAAATAAATTGTGGAATCATATTTCTTCAGTAAATTTATTTTTTATTTGTTAAATTAGGACGTACATTTATCTTTTATTCATTTATCCTAGAATTTATGTTTTAAAACTATGCTATTTTTATATTATTTGTATTATTGTGTTATTTTATAAACACTAGGAACCGTTAAATATCAATTTCACACAAAATATATATTTCAATAACAGAATCACGTTATGTCGAATTAACGCTTGTTAAAAACTTAACACAAATATTTTAATAAGAATTTTAACACAAGTATGAAATGTTTTTTATTGCGTAGATAACATTTTTGAGCTTTTGTTAACGTTTTCTTGACATTAATTTTGACACATATCGAAAAAAACTGGCAGATATATTTTTATCAGCTTCCGGACATTTGTATCGTTTGGATAATAAAATTTTAGAGATATCTTGTGACGAAGATAAAAGAAGCTTTCTTTGGAGCTTGGAATTAGACGGAGAATGGCATTATAAAGTTTGTATAATGTAATTTTTATATATTTTAGGTTTATATGGAGTCTTGTTTTATATACTTTATCTAATTGAATATTGTGTTGTAAAAGAATTGTTTAGCACAAATTATTTTATGTGATTAATTTTAGAGCTAATTTTTTAATGTGAAAATAAGTGTTTATAAACATTTCTATAATATCATTATCTATTACTTTTCATCAAAATATACGTTTATATTATTATCTCTTATCAAAGCATGCGTCAAGATTAATTTATTTATAAATGTAATTTGAAACTATAGAGTCATGTGATTTTATTTATTTGTGTTTTTAATATTATATGATAAATTATTATAATAAAAAATTATTATTATATTAAAAAAGTAGTATATTTACCATTTGATAATTACGTAATCATTGTAAAAAAAAGAAAGAATAAACTCTGGAAAAGTTTTTTTTTTCTTTATTTTATCTTCAATCAGATAAGTTAAAGATAAGTAATCTGTCATTCTGTACACCCTTTTTTTTATTTAAAAATTGATTAGATTTTTAATGATAATATTTTATAATCATGATTTTTTTTATATACAACTTCAAATATAATTATAATGAATTTATCAATTATAATATTATAGTCAATCCAAGAATGACAAGAATACGGAAAATTTGCTGCATTGGAGCCGGTTATGTGGGTGGACCCACCTGCAGCGTTATTGCACTGAAGTGCCCGGAAATTCAAGTAACCGTTGTTGATAAGAGCAAGGAAAGAATTGCGCAATGGAATTCACAAAAGTTACCAATATATGAGCCGGGCTTGGATGAAGTAGTGGGAAAATGTCGTGGAAAGAATTTATTCTTCTCCACTGAAATTGATACAGCGATTAAGGAGGCTGATTTGATATTCATTTCGGTAAACACGCCAACGAAGACCTTTGGCAATGGCAAAGGAAGAGCAGCTGACTTGAAATATGTGGAAAGTGCAGCCAGGATGATCGCGCAAGTTGCAACAGGAGATAAGATTGTCGTGGAAAAAAGTACCGTACCGGTAAGAGCGGCCGAGAGTATTATGAATATTCTCCGCGCCAATCACAAGCCAGGTGTTTCTTATCAGGTAAGATAATTAACTGTTATTTCTCACAATTGTAATTTAAATATAAAAACGCGACAATTCTTGTAATAGTTGTCTTCTCTAGAATGAATTATTTTCCATAATCTCTTATATATATATATATATATCTTTCTATATATTTACTTTTAATTCATTTAAATATTCTTGACATTGTAACATAGCATTGCGTAGAAATTGTGAAATATAAAGTTGCAATATTGAAATTAATACATTCAATACGACACATGTGCAATTGTATTAAGTGTATTAAAAATTTTATTGCATTTTTGCTATGTTTGTAATTGACAGATTGTCAAATCGCCAATAGCAATCGTATAGTTTAAGTTACTTAAATTAATGTCGTTCAGTTAAGATAAGCTCTCGCTTCATACTGTACGATTATTCACGACCTTTTGCTCAAGCGTTTGTTATTATTATCGTATATTGTAATAATCAATTTACACTTTCTCTGAGATTTGTCTTTTTTTTTATATTTAATCGAATATTAATAGATAATTGTTTTTTAGATTCTTTCGAATCCGGAATTTTTAGCCGAAGGAACTGCTATAGAAGATCTGGTAAACGCGGATCGAGTACTGATTGGCGGAGAAAATTCGCCAGAAGGGCAGGCGGCTATCGAGGAATTATGTCAAATTTATGAACATTGGATTCCAAGAGAAAAAATTTTAACGACTAACACATGGAGTTCAGAACTGTCGAAACTGGTGAGTAATGATACATTTTGCATTCTTACAGTAATAGCAGTGCCGTTATGTAAATAAACTGTGTAAGATTTATTACATTGTATCATAACATATCTATCTATAAGTGTAAATAAATTATACTATGTTTAAATTACATTATGTGACTTAAGTTTAATACAACGGAAGCAGTTCTAAATCTTTTTATCAAAATTATATTTACTAAAGAAAAATAATTTTAATAATGTTGTCAGATATTCAGGAAACTATGATTTCATCGTATTTGTAGTACGTTCAACGTAGTATTGACTCACAATGAATTTTCATTTCGGCCGCCATACGTGCTATGTTAGGCACATGTCTGTATATAAATATTTAAATAGTGTATTACAACTTACAAATACAATTTAATTTGAATAATCTCAAGTACAACAATAAATTTTAATATTTATTTATATTTATTTGATTTTAGGCTGCAAACGCTTTTCTCGCTCAGCGTATCTCTAGCATTAATTCCTTGTCAGCAGTGTGCGAAGCTACAGGTGCCGACGTGTCCGAGGTCGCTCGAGCAATCGGACTTGATTCTCGAATCGGTTCCAAGTTCCTTAGCGCGTCGGTTGGTTTCGGCGGCTCATGTTTCCAAAAAGACATTCTAAATTTAGTATATATTTGCGAGTGTTTAAATTTGCCCGAGGTAGCGGCATATTGGCAACAGGTGATTGATATGAACGAATATCAGAAGTCCAGATTTTCCGCAAAGGTCATAGAATCTCTTTTTAACACTGTGACAGACAAGAGGATCGCTATGCTGGGTTTTGCCTTCAAGAAAGATACAGGAGATACGCGTGAATCACCAGCAATTCATGTCGCCAAGACGTTGTTAGATGAAGGCGCCGTTCTTCACATTTACGACCCCAAGGTCAGCTCTTTCTCTTTTCTATCATAGAAGAAGTGAAGATCTATCAGACTTATTTTTAATAACAGATTCTTTAAATTTCATTACAGTTTGTCATAAGTTGCATTTATTAATTTCGATATAAATTAAATTTCAAAAACTTATTTTAAATTAAAAAACTAAATTTTATTAAAATATGTAATTTAATATAAATAAAAAAAATTTTTTAAATTTAATATATAATTATATTTCTATATACATTCTGTATACTTTATTTACAGATATATTAAATTTCCTGTGTTCAACATTACAATAGAAAAAATTGCAATTTAAATTTTTAAAAAAGTTGATGTAGAGAATTTATCAGAGAATTAATAGTTAATAAAAAACGCGAATATAATTGTTCTGCATTTAAATTAAATTACAAAGAAATTATGCCTTATTCAGTAAACTTTGTATTTTGAACTTTTTATATTGTTGTGCTCTTAGACTAGATAATGATTTTTACTTAATATATATAACAAAATAATTATATATATTATAAAACTTAAAAAGCATTTTAATAAAAATTCAGTAATAGATTGAGTGTACAGTTCTTGTACAATTTGTCTACTTCACAGGTTGAAGAAACTCAGATTATTCAGGACTTGACTCATCCAAGTATAACGAGCGATCCTAAAGATGTAAAAAGTAGAATCAGTATTTATAAAGATGCTTATAGCGCCACGAAGAATACTCACGCTATAGTTTTATGTACTGAATGGGATGAATTTATCGTAAGTAAAAGAGAGTGTTGTCTAGATAATAAAAATGGCTTTATCCTTAATGCTGTCTAATTTTTTTATGCAATTATATGTTTAATATTATACATATACATATATATATATATTAACGTAAAAAAAGAATTAATAAATATTTCATTTTTAGGAATTAGATTACACGCAGATTTATGTAGATATGATGAAGCCAGCCTATATTTTCGACGGAAGGAATATTTTGAATTTTGATCGATTGCAAAGGATCGGTTTTATTGTTCAAACTATCGGTAAAAAACGCACAAGATCAGGAATTTCTAGAGCATGGGGTAGCCAAACACAAATTTAAAAAAAAACGGACCAAGCAATACTTCTAATTTAATAAAAAATGACAACAATTATTATAATAATTTTAGTTAATCTAAACACAGAGATGCATTTGTGAAACGTAGCTATAGAATTTCACTATTTTAACTTTTAACGAACAAATACGTTTGTCTCCTAATGACGTATCGATACAGACTGCGCATCGTGATTCAGATAATATTCGGTTTTACATATATGATGTTTATTATATTTTAAAATATAATCTTATACTACTTTCTATAACTGAGAAGAATTTAGAAAAAAGTAAAATATGACATGGAATTTGTCTTTACAGAAATATATTTTAACAATTAGAAGGCACTGCAAAAATGTTTTATATATTTGAGGCACTTGTTTATCATAATTTAATTTAATTTTTTAAATAAACAAAAATGAATAACAGAAACGCTAAGAACCAAATTTTTATATATTTAAATTCATAAAAACACACGTTTTGATTTATTTGTCAGATCATCCTCAGTGTATACATTTCGATAAATTAACGCAAATTTAATAAAAATCATAAAACGGTTAAATAAAATTTCTGCAAATTATAGTTAGACAAAGTGGTAGACCTATTTCTTTATATCTATTTTCAGTCGCAACAATGCAATGCTTTCAATCTTGTCATCTTTGTAGTACATTCTTCTAATACATCGGTTGCAATTTGTCTATAATGATAATAAAATTAGTTGAATATGTAGAGTCATATATTCCGTAAAATTGTGCAAGCATACATTCTGTTATCACACAAATTAATATCATAGATTATAAAAATTAAACTAATAATGAATAAATGGTCGTTGTATTCAAAATTCTTAGTACATATAATCTTTTATTTAATTGACAACTATAATAAAGTATGCGTGATAAATAAAATTACTGTACATATATCTCAATGTGAAGGTTTAGCCAGAATAATCTATTTTTTAAGAATTTAAATATATGAAAAATTTAGCTCTTAGTCCTTCTGTTATTCATTTTTGTTTATTATTATCGAGCCATTATAAGTTTTTTTTTTTTTTTACATAAAATTAAGTTCTTTCCAAGAAAAGCTAGATCTTTTTATTACATCTTATTTAAATTTTAAATATCATGTTATGTTTAATTCTCTTAGGATATTTAAAAGAGATTATATGAAGAAAACATATTACATATTTTATATAATTATGTATCAAATATAAAATTGTATAAGTTTTAATTTATTTTATCATATATGTTATTAATACGCCTGTGAAATTTCTCAATAGATTTTATATTATTTTCTTTAGAATAATTCACTCTTAGAGAAAAAAGTATAAGGCAAATTGTTTGGTAACAATTAGTGACAAACAAATGTATTAAATAATAACGTAAGACAATTGAATATGCGTCACTGAATAATTTTAAACTAGAAATAAATTGCGACTCTCATAAATTGTTATAATTTACTTTCACATTATTTTAATAACGGGCTTCGACGCATGTCGAATTAAAGCAATGTTTTTATCGCAAATACGATAGAATCATATTTTCCTTAGTACTGTTAAGATCTTTCTTTGTTAACTTTTTAAAAATAATTTATTTATAAAGAAATTGCAATTGCATTCTTGGTAATAGTCAAAGAATTTCGCGTTTATAATGTTTCGGAGGTAGTGTTAAAATTAGCTAGAATATTGTAATTGATTTCCAATTTGATTATAGTCGACTGTATTATCGCCTAAAAAGAAACATTATAAAATCTGTTAAATTCTTATCCGTAATTATTTATGATCGTAATTATCTATCTAGATATACTACATATTAATTTCAACACAATTAATTATCGAACAAAGAATATGTGTACAATATTAAATGAACATAAATTTAAAGTGCTATAAATGATTATTTTAATAATTTTAATGGCAATTTAATTTTAACTATAATAAAAATATATTCCATACATATTATTTAAACGCGTATAAAAATACATATAATGAAGAAATATTTACTTTATTATTATCATCGTTACAAGTTAGACTTGTATCTATTATATTTACATTATATATATGTAATTATTGCAAACTCTTTTACATAAATATTTATATTAATATCTTGCTTTATATATTTTGTTTGTTCGATATGTTTTAAATTCTTTGTACAATTAATATATACTATCTGTTCCAGCTTTTCATTTCTATATCACTACTATTATACATTACGTTATAAAAAACGCATTTTATGATAATCAAATTTGTAATACATTTTTGAAGTGTCAGTTCGAATATATTTGATCATATTTTACTCTATTATATTTACGAAATAAGTTATTAATACAGATTTCGTGAATTCAAATGAAAAGTATTTTGAATAAAGCTTAGAAAGAATTTACATTCATTAATATATTAAATTTGTTTGAAGTATTATATATCAATTTAAGTTCAATGTTTTTTTCAAGTTGGATGCATGTATGAAATAAATCAAGTATTTTAATATTATATATTTCCTATAAATGTGTCGTAACGATAACATATTATACACTATTTAAAGTTATCAAAGAATTATTTCTTTTAGTTTGTAAACATATTATAATAATTAACAAATGTTACTGATTTTATAAAGTTCCAATGTTGTTTTAATCATACGTTCACATTTATACATATGTAAATTGCATCTAATATAAGTGCATATATTGTGCATAGTTTCTAAGTATATAGCATAAAAGTTTATAAATACATGTTTTTAGAAAAGTCGTTTGATGTGATTAATTCTTCATATTTGTTTTATTTGTCAAATAACTATTAAAAAAAATAACACCTAGCTGAAAAAAATTTTATTAAAAGAAAGATTAAGAGACAAATTTGTTTTGTACATATTTTTTTCCATTTATGCTTTATATTTTCTAAACAGTCTAAGAAATATGTATAACAAATTAAAAATATTTGAAGAATTTATTTAGAAATATTTAATTTGTAACAATATTTTTGCAAGAAATAAACGCCAAATTATCTTATTTTATAAATTACAAAATTTTGATGTTAATGAAACTGAAAGTATATTAAAAAAGGCGCATGCGCAAATTGGCAATAATGTATCAATTTTTCGATGATCCCTGCTGTTAACGTGGCGCATTTTATGAAGAAATAAAATATAATGAAATGTTAAATGCGAGAATTTATACATCTGCAAATTAGATTCGTACTTTCTATGTTGCAAAATAAGAATTTTCTGATAGAAAAGTAAATTTATTGTCCTTTGCAATTTAAATTGTAAAAAGAAAAATGTAAATTTATACTTGATAATCAAATCATTAACAACAGATTGTTTAATAATTTTTGTTAAATTATAACTAATATCTTTTTTCTTGATATATTTTAAAATTTTTAATGATCGACGTAATGCAGATTGATTAAAAAATTAAATACTCATTTTTATACTTTTCAATACAAAATACAAATTATGAAATATTAACAACGTTTTTAGAGTATCTAGATTTCTAATTAGCTTAAATTATTTATTATTTTAACGTTCAAACTATGCGCGAAGTGTATTTTAAGAATTTGAAGTAAATAGATATTATATTTTCGTTTATTATAATATAAAAGGCAGAAGATGTTTCTTTAGATTTTATAATTGTTGTCATTATTTCAATCAAAATTCATTCGATTTTCGCGTTACCTTAATTTTCAACACGCCCATAAAATAAAATTGTGAAAATGAAGCAGCTATATACGAATCTGAGGAAGGTAGTGACGTGTTTCATGAAATGCTTTAGGAGCAACGGCAGTAGCGACAATAGTAGCACGAGTCGCTGTTCGACGATCAGCGCGAAGAGCTCTAGCGAGCGATCCGCATGACAGTTGTGTCGAGATTGCGCCGAAGTCGCGAAGTGTCGACGACGAGAACGACGACGGCGATAATGATGCACGACGAAGCGTTGTTTTCGCAAATTTTAAGTCTGTTGACGTACGATTATCAGTGATATTCTCGTGGGTTACTGGTGAAATTCTTTGATTACGACCGTGTTCCTCGACGTGTTCGTCGAAGAGAATTTGCAATAGGCCGGGCCTGTCGGTAGGAAAATGGCGGCGCGCCTTCTGCAGCGGCGACGTCGAACGACGTGGTGTAGCTGAGAAATCATCGTTCGTGTGAAATAATCGCTTCGAATCTTTAAAAATCGTCGCACTCTTTTTAATGTCTCAAGCGAGACAATCTCCGCATATAATTCGGTTGGCGGAGTAATCGTGAGCGGTGTGGCCGGAGTGACGTTTGCTCCGGACAATGTATGAACGGTGTACGGGCTGTACGAGATATACGCTCGGACAACAACGGTTAGAGGAAAACAACAAGGCAGAATAGTGCGTGCGGTAGCGAATCGCGCTCGCTCCCAGAAGCGGCAAGTGCTCTCACGCGAGCGCTCTTATGCGAGTGAGCGCCGCGAGTCAGCGGCATCGACAGTGGCACGGACCGCGGTGACAAGTGTCTCATCGGCGAGGGGACACCTCGCCTCACCCCCGCGGTCGCCGGAGGATGATACCGTG